GGGGAGGGGGAGGGGGAGCGCCTCCGCGTCCGCGTAGCTGCCCGCCTCGAGCGCCGCGCTGATGGTGCCGTAGTCCTGCGGTGCGAAGACACAGCGTCCAGGGCGGGAGGACGGTCTCTCGTGCAACATGTACATGTTGACATGTATGTACATGTACATGTTGTTGTTGTGCATGTGCATGTGCATGTGCATGTGCATGTGCATGTGCATGTTTGCGCATTCACGAATACAGCGAATGCGGCGGGTGCGGCGGAGTGCAAGTTGGGTACGCGTCCTCTCGAGCGGCAGTTGGGGGACTATGGGAAGAGTATGGAAGAGTATGGGAAGAGTATGGAAGAGTATGGAAGAGTATGGAAGAGTATGGAAGACTATGGGAAGAGTATGGAAGAGTATGGAAGAGTATGGAAGAGTATGGAAGACTATGGGAAGAGTATGGAAGAGTATGGAAGAGTATGGAAGAGTGCGTGTGAGGCTTCTAGGGGCGGAGTCCATCGGAGACTTGATCATCTCGAGGTAGCCTGGGAGGAGTACAATGAACCGCTCGTCAGACGCAACTCAGGAGGCATCCGACCGGACCATCTCGAGGTGGCCTGGAGGACTAATTAAACGCTCGTTGCGGACACACTTGTGAGGCATCCGACCGGACCATCTCGAGGTGGCCTGGCGTGTCGGCCGGCACCGGCTCGGCGAACCAGTCCGCGTCCTACTTTGATGCTCCTTGGATTCGGGTACCGGGGTCGGTAGGGTACGGGCGGGGGAGATGAGCCGGCGGCCTTGCGCTTGCGCAGAGTGGCGAGGATCGCGGCGCACCTGCGTAGTTGGATTCGAGTACCGGGGTTGGTAGGGGGTACGGCGAGCGAGCCGTAGCCAGGATGGCGGCGCACGTGCTGGAGATGTGGGGAGATGTGGGGAGATGTGGGGAGATATCGCACCGCTCCAGCGGCGGGACCGAGGCGGGGTCGCTCTTCGACTTCCGCTTGGGCGGCGCCTATATGCGGGGAGATATGGGGAGATTGGGGAGATAGAGGGAGATATGGGGGTCAACTTCCGCTTGGGCGGCGCCGCGACCGCCGGAGCCGGGGCCGACGCCGCTGCGGGCTCTGCCGCCGGCGGCGCCTCGTCTGGCTTGCCGACCTGCGAGAGATGGGGAGATATGGGGAGATATGGCCGAGATGTGGGGAGAGATGGGGAGAGATGGGGAGAGGTGGGGAGAGGTGGGGAGAGGTGGGGAGAGATGGGGAGAGGTGGGGAGGTGGGGAGAGATGGGGAGATGTGGGGAGAGATGGGGAGAGATGGGGAGAGGTGGGGAGAGATGGGGAGAGATGGGGAGAGGTGGGGAGAGATGGGGAGATGTGGGGAGATATGGGGGAGATATGGGGAGATGTGGGGAGATGTGGGGAGATGTGGGGAGAGATGGGGAGAGATGGGGAGAGATGGGGAGAGGTGGGGAGAGATGGGGAGAGATGGGGAGAGATGGGGAGAGATGGGGAGATGTGGGGCTGGTCGACCTGCGAGGGCAGTGGGATGCATGGTAGGGGGTGGGTAGCTGCAGAGGAGGATCCAAAGTAGGGAGTAGCAGTGGGCTCTGCGTCACTATTCGTCTCTCTCCTCTCGGCTGGTTGACCTCCATGGCTTGCTCCGACGACGCGGCCTTCGACTTTTCAAACGCAGCCTGAGGAGCCAAGCACGCGCGGAGGTGGGTCGGGGTGGTGGGGGTGGTGGGGGGGGTGGGGGGGGGTGGGGGGGTGGGGGGGGGGGCACCAGCGGTGGGGGGGGGAAAGGGAAAGGGAGGGTGAGGGAAAAGGTGAGGGGAAGGAGGGAAAAAGGCAGGCAGGGAGGGAGGGGAGGGGAGGGAGGGGAGGAGGGGAGGCAGGCAGGCAGGCAGGCAGGCAGCAGGAGGAGGAGCAGGCCAAGGGGCTGCCCCAGCCTTGTGCGCAGCGAGCTCCTCCGCCGCCTTTTTCTCCGCCTCCGCCTTCGCCTTTGCCGCCGCCTCCACCTGCGCCGCACGCTCGGCCCTCTCCGCCGCCGCCGCCGCCTCCGCCGCCGCGGCCGCCTCCGCCTTCGCCGCCTCCTCCTTTGCCGCCGCCTCGGCCGCCGCCGCCGCCTCGGCCGCCGCCTTCTCCGCCGCCGCCTTCTCCGCCGCCGCCTTCTCCGCCGCCGCCTTCTCCGCCGCCGCCGCCTCGGCCGCCGCAGCCTCGGCAGCAGCCGCCGCCTCCGCCTCGGCGGCCGCCGCCGCCGCCTCAGCCGCCGCCTTTTCGGCCGCCGCCTTCTCCGCCGCCGCCGCCTCGGCCGCCGCCTGCTCTGCCGCCGCCGCCTGCTCTGCCGCCGCAGCCTCGGCCGCAGCCGCAGCCTCGGCCGCCGCAGCCTCGGCCGCAGCCGCAGCCTCGGCCGCCGCAGCCTCGGCCGCCGCAGCCTCGGCCGCCTGCCGCTCCACCTCCTCGGCCGCCGCCTTCTCCGCCGCCGCCCTCTCCGCCGCGGCGGCGGCTTCCGCCTCTGCCGCCGCCTCTGTCGCCTTCCTCTCCTCCTCGGCTGCCGCGGCCGCGGCCGCCTCGGCCGCCGCGGCAGCCTCAGCCTCGGCCCTCGCCGCCGCCTCGGCCGCCGCCGCCTCCGCCGCCGCCGCCGCCTCGGCCTCAGCCTTTGCCGCCGCTTCGGCCGCCGCCGCCTGCGCCGTCGCCTCCGCCTCGGCCTTTGCCGCCGCCTCCGCTGCCTCCGCTTCCTCGAGCTCCGCCTGCACCCTCGCCTTCTCCTCCTCCAGCGCGGCCGCCGCCGCCGCCGCCGCCTGCGCCTCCGCCGCGACCGCGGCCGCCTGCTCTGCCGCAGATGGGTCCATCTGCGAGAATTCGCCGAACGGCGGCTGCGAGGCCGGCTCGGAGAACTGGGAGGAGGCCTGCTCCTCAGACTCGTTTGCGGGGGCGGGCTCTTGCACGCCGAATCCAAAGTCCATGTCCATGAACGCGCTGTGGAGAGAGTGGGGACGCCTTGAGCTCACTTCGCTACCCGCCGGTGGCCGCTCAGGGCTGAGAACAAAAAGAATTCAACAACCGAGAACTCTCTCTCAATAAAATTTAAACAAGAGAACTCCTTCTCATCCCGTGCCATCGGGTTCCACAGTGCTCCTTGGCACCGTCACGACGCTGTTGCAGCCTCACGAGCGGGGGGGGCGGTGACACAGCCTTTGCGCCGCTACTTCGTACTTGCAGCTCTCCGCCAAATCAGAGGCGCCGCGGTGTGTGCAGCTGTTGACACGCCTGACACACTGGTCACCATCGCTCGCCCCTTTCCCGCCCTGTTTGCAGGCTACCGCGTGGCCGGCCTCGCTTCGGGGAGGGGGTGGGCGCACCTCGCCGAGTTTGCGAGCCGGTGGGTAGGCATATGTGTGTCGTTCCGCTCAGCCAACGGCCGGCCGTTGCTGCGCAATGCAGACGCCTTCACCCAGTTCAGCCCTGCTGACAACGCTGTGTAATGCAATAGTTAAGGGGATGTAGAGTAGGAGTTCACGAGTTTGGCCTTCGCGCCGAAGAGATGACCTCGGCCAGCGCGGTGGTGCCGGCCTCCTCGGGGTGGCGCGATGGCGGTGCCGCACACAATTCATGCACCTCCCACTCGCAGGTGGCCGGGCGGCCCCGAACGGCGGTGCTGTGGAGCTACCCGGGCTCTGGCAAGACTGCCACACGGCTCATGGCCGAGGCGGCCACTGGCCACCGGACTGGAAGTCCTTACCGCGACGCCAGCCTCGCACAAATTCTGACCGCCGAGATGCTCAACCTTTCGGCGTCCAGCCGCGGCCGGCGCAGCGGCAATGGAATGCTGCTGCTCAAAGTGCATTGGGAAGGGCGACCTACCCTACCTACCCCGTCATGAGGGCCGGCCAAGCAAAAAAAGAATACACCGGATTTGAGCGAAAATTGGCAATATGCTCCGCTCTACTCGTATTGGGCGGCCAAGATTTCGGCAAAGACGCTGTGGATCGGCTGGTCCAAAATTCGGGGCTCAGTGAACACAAAAGAATTTTGCCACGGTTGGGGTTGGCGTACAAACAGAATTTTACAATCCCTCGCACGACAATGGGCACGGGACTGGCGCGCACTTTGGCACTAACACACGGGGGTTCAGGTACACAAAAAAGAAAGCGCAAATGTGATAGCCCAGCGCCGGGGGAGCGACGATCCCGTCTCCACAGCACAGTCCGCTGGACAGTACGTCAGTAGCTTACTCTACGTATGGGTAGTTGCTGTGTCATCTAGGCTCGTCAGAGTTTCCGGTGAGGCTACATTTGTGTGCGCTCCGTCTGCCGCTTCTGCGCGGCCGACACTGGCTCGCTGGCAGGTTCAGCGGGTCTAGGATCGGGACCTAGGAGAGCAGACACGCCGCGTCGGTCAGCTGAACCTGCCGCCCTTTGCGGCCCAGCGCTTCAGCTCGGGGTCAGAGCCGAACTCCTTCTCGACGGCCGCATCCCACAGGGCGGTCATCTCCGGCGTGAAGAAAGCCTTGCCGCCGCCGACCTTGCCCGTCCGAATGAGCGCGCCGTCGATGCCCGGGCAGCCGTCCTTGCCGCACATGATCTTGCTGCCGTCGCCCGCCCACTGCGTGTAATCGAATTTGTGCGCGATCTGCTTCATCTGCCTGATGTTGGCGCGCGTCCTCACCCTGGCGCTCTGCCACGGCAGCAGCTGGACGTCCAAGAATTTGGCGAGCTTGGAGATCACGGCCCCGAGGTCCTTCTTGGCGTCGGTGTAGTGCAGGAGCAGCACGTTGGACTCGTGCCGCCACGGCCACCACTCCTTGACGTAGCCAAAGTAGAGGCCCGCCAGCGTGCCTCCGGGCAGGAAGTCGTTGAGGCACTCCATCGGTGAGCCGTACGTGGGCGGAAAGCCGCCCCACCTGATTGTATCATTGGCAGCTGACATCACGAGGACTCGAGTAGTAATACAAATTATTGATAGTAATCAATATTCTACCGGCTCTTGAACGAGGGGCGGTGCGAGGCGAAGAAGGGGTAGAAGGAGTTGACGACGTCCATGCCGTTGCGCGCCATCGCTAGGAACTTAACCTTGGGGTAGGCCTTGATCGGCAGCACCTCGGGCGTGAAGTGCGATTTGAAGATGCGGAAGGGGTACGAGGGCTTGTCCCAGTAGTCCTTGACCCGCGTGCCGTCGGGCAGGACCGCCGTCTTCATCAGCGTCTTGATGCCCGAGGTGAGCAGGGTGTCGCCCCACCGCTGCCCGGGCAGCATGTTGAAGCCGATCCACGGCGTGTCCAGCAGAATGTCCGTGTAGTCGGTCTCGACGCTGCCTTTGGCCTTGGTGCGGATCTGATGTGCTGTGTACAGCATCCAGTTGGTGCCAGACTTGGCGCCGACGGCGGCGATCAGGTCGCCGTCCTTGGCCCACGTGCCAAACTCGTCCGCGCCGAATGGCGTCGGGTCAAAGTATGGCGGCATGACGTTGCCCGTGATGGCCCATGGGATGAAGCCCATCGGCAGCCTGAGGAACAGCGTCGGCCAGACCTGGCCGATGACGCCGATGGTGATGGCGAAGTACACGACGTACTTCCCGGCGCTCTTGACGGTTTCGAGGGCGCTCATCTGTATGGTAGGCAAAATGCGCGACTCGCAGCGTGGGGAATAGGCTGGCGAGTAGAGGCCCCGCCCACCCAGGCTCCTCCGCCGCTGCGGCTCTGTCCAAGAAAGGAAGCGAAAAGAGAAAGCGCGGCGAACGCATTCTCTCACATGACAAGCTCCCTTGGGTTGTGTGTTTTCTTTCTTTCTTTTTGACAAGCGATCCAACGAGCGATTGTGGAAAAAGAAAAGCGAGGGCGCAAAAAATAAATTGCCGTCGCGCGGCGGGCCGCCAGCTTGCCACCCTGCCGCCCCCCCCTTTACCTCGTCCCATGTCCTCCTCCTCCAGCCGCGGCCAGCGCGCCTCCCGCAGCCGCAAGCGCGAGCGCGACGCCGCTTCGCCGCGCGCGCCAGCGCTCCTCCGGATCGACGGCGGTTCGGCGCTGCCGGCTCGCGTGGTCAAGCTCTGGCAGCAGGGCGAGGTGTGCGACGCCACGGTCGTCGCGCAAGGGCGCGAGTTCCCCGTGCACCGCTGCGTGCTCATGGCCGCCTCTGAGTTCTTCGACGGCGCCTTTGGCTCGGGCCTTGCGGAGAGCGCCTCGACGCGCGTGTCGCTCGACAGCGTGGAGGCGAGCGCGCTCGAGCCCATCCTCGAGTACGTCTACACCGGCGAGTGCCAGGTCGACGAGGCCGCGCTGCTGACGCTGCTGCAGGGAGCCTCCTTCTTGCGCGTGGGGCCGCTCATCGCTGCGATCGTCGCTCGGCTCGAGGACCGGCTGACACCAGACAACTGCCTCGACCTGTGGGCCTTTGGCGAGGCGCACACCCTCCTCGCGCTGGTGGAGGCGGCTCGCGTCGCGGCGCTGCGCGGCTTCGATGCGGCGGCGGCGAGCGCGGCCTTTCTTCACCTCCCGCACGCGCGGCTGCTCGAGCTGCTGCAGGACCCGCGCCTCGAGGCGTCCCGCGAGGAGAGCGTGCACGAGGCGGTGCTCGCTTGGGCAAAGGCGCAGCGGCCCGCTCCGGACGAGGAGGCGCTGCTGCCGCTGCTGCGCACCGTGCGCTACCCGCTCGTGGCGCGCGACTTCTTCGAGCAGACGGTGATGGCCGAGCCGCTGCTGCACAGCGGCACGCTCGCCATCAAGCTGTTCGGCTCGGCGTTTGTCGACGTCGCGTTCGGGCCGCGGATCGGACGCCGCCCCGGCTTTGGGCCCTCGCGGCCACAGCTCACGTGGTCTTCGACGCACAAGGGCGATGGCATCGTGCTGTTGGACGCGGGGCTGCTCGCCATCGGTGGTGAAAGCGAGGGCGAGGTCGTTCGCAGCGCCGAGCCACTACCCGCAACGGGCAAACATCTCGTGGAGGTGGTCTACGAGCAAGGCTTGGCGTCCGCGGCGACCACAAACCTTGGCGCGTGCTACTTCACCGGCGTCGTGAGCGCAGACGTTGACACCTTTCGCGAAATGGATGGGGACGAGAACTTGGCGCACCTGGCTCATGGCTTTTGGGGCATCGATGACATTGGCGATGGGGGCGAGACAACCGGCGTTCGTCGCGGCAAGGGCGGTGAGGAGGGGGCGCCGCCTGCAGCTTTGGTCGACCTTGGCACATCACAAGAGCGAGGACTCTTCGTCCGCGGTGACCGCCTCGGCCTGCTCGTGGACATGGACGAGCGCACGCTCACGTTCCACCGCAACGGCGACCCGATCCCGTCGCTCGTGCTCGGCGGGCTGCCCGAGGAGGTGTACGTCGTGGCCACGCCGTACAACACGGGCTCGCGAGTCCGAATTGTGCAATCGGACTGAGCGCCCGCATGGCGCGCGCTCTCGGCTCTGCGCGGCGTTGCCAGTGGGCAGGTGATGGGCCTGGGCTCTTATGGGTTATGGCTTTATGCACACAGTGTTTGACTCGAGGCACTCGGCCCAGCCGCTGCGGCACGTCTCTACCACGTACGGTCGGTGTTAGTACCTCCATGTGTTCATTGCGTTTCGGTCGCACACAGTGACTGTAATGAAAATGAGTGCGCTCCTTGAGCGACCGAGCACCCGCTAAACGGCCGTGTAAAGGCTAGAAAGCCGTAACGCGTAAGCGCGGGCCTAAGCGCTATGGTGAACTGAACGGAAAGTAGAGCCGTAGCGAAACGGCTACGGGAGCAGGCGCACATCGCTTCCAGGGAGGGGGGCGCCCTTCTACTCACACCACATGCTAGGGGGCCGACCCCCCCCAGCACCTTCACCACATGCTAGGGGGGGGTCCCGACCCCCCCCCCAGCGCCTTCACCACATGCTGGGGGGGGGAGGGTCATGCGATGGCCGAGGACCCCCCCCAGAGACTCGTGGTCAGACCCTCCGGGCCCTTGATTTTGCACCTCATCTCGCAGCCTTTTTCGAAGAAAATCATCCTGTGGAGCTACATGAGCCTTGAGACTGGTCAGATTCTCCAAGATATTGGACTTTTCAGCCACGATTTCACACTTTGGGGGCAAAATCGGCTCTTTGGCGGCTATTCCTACCCCACGAACTGCTGGGGGGTGCCCACCACATGCTAGGGGGGGGGGTCCGACCCCCCCCCCAGAGGCTTCATCACATGCTGGGGGGGGGGGGGGCCCCACCCCCCCAGCGCCTTTACCACATGCTAGGGGGGGGGTGGGGCGTGAGCAGAAGTGCGCCCCCCTCCCTGGAAGCGATGTGCGCCTGCTCCGGAAAGAATGTTTACGACTCCCTCGCACGACATGTTGGGCTTTGGGCACGGGACTGGCGCGCACTGGCACTATAGCACAGGTACACCACGGGAGCCGACTAAGCGACTCCCGCGAGGGCGGCGAGGCACTTAGCTCCGTGCAAGAAAGAATTCTTAAAAAACAAGCCTCTCTCACAGCAGTGAGCCGGTGAGTGTGCCAGTCCGGCAAGAAAGAATTCAACGAAAACAACTCTCTCTCACAGCACACAGGCTCGACACAGGTACGCCACAGTACCAAAAAGAGGCACAGTCGCGGGGGCGCCTACACGAAGGCGTCGAGGTGGGCGAAGGGGGGAGGGCGGCAATCGCCCTCACCCTTACGACGCCCACCCCGGCACTCCCCGTCAACCCACACCTCCCTCTCAAGCGCAATCGCCCTACGCGCCGCCTCCGCTGCACGCTTGCCCGTCTTCTTCGCCCCGAGGGGCGTGGCCGTGGCAGGCGTCCTGCGGAGCAGGCCCGCCCCCTCCCTCAGCCGCATCAACCGCATCTCCTCGGCCTCCAACGCCTGGCCGCAGCAGCACAGCCCTGCGAGCAGTAGGCAAAAGCCCCGCCACAAGAACCCCCCCGGCCGCTTGAAGGAGCAGCGCAAGGTGGACGGAATTTTCGGCACCGCGGTGCGTGGAGGCGGCGATGCCTACGCGCGAGCATGCGGGGGCCCAGGTTCGGGACCAGGCGGTGGCGGTGGCGGCGGCGCCAGGCGCAGCGAGGCCGGCGCCCACAATAGTAGCTAGGGCGCCCGTGCTAGAGGAGGCGCAGGGGTTGCGGCTGCACTTGGCCGACAACAGCAGGAACCGGAGCGGCTACCGCGGTGTCGTTGAGCGAGGACTTGGTCGCTTCGAAGCATCCGGTCAGTGATGACGAAACAGAAGCTAGCGCAGACGAGGGCAGGGCAGACCCGGGGACGGCGGAGTCGGAGCAGACGGCATCGGCTGCCGAGGAAACGTTGGGAAGAGGCACGAGGAGGGCGGCGACCTCAACCGACTATGGAGGACCCGTCACCAGACGACGCAGGGCGGACGACGGGGAGGCGGAGCAGACGCGCAGGACGAGACGAGGGAGGGAGCAGGATGTTGCGGAGATCAGCAGGAGGATGTACGACGAGATTAGGAGCAGCAGGGACCCGAGGGACCATGTGGAAGACGGCTAGTGCTAGTCCCCCATCGGGAGGACGACCCCGGCTAGTCGCCGACCACACCCACAAAGAACCCTGCACAAAGACCGCAGGGCGGGGACCTGTTCCTTTTTACCCATCTCCTAGTAGAGGTGTGTCCGTTTTATTTATTTATTTATTTCACCTCCGGCCCAGGCAGCCCCTGTGACGAGCGCGCCGACGGTGCCTAGCACGCAAGCCACCGCCACCGCGGCCTCTCTCAGGAAGCCGAGCAGCAGCGCGGGCCGAGCGCTGCGCCGCCGGCCGCCCTTGGCGTCTCGCACGCGAGCCGCGGGCACCGCGCAGAGGAGCGAGATCGCGTCGGCGACCAGCTCGCGCTCGGAGCGCACGAGGTGTGGGATCAGCGCGACGTCACGCCAGGCCGCACGCGAGTGCAACGTCTTCGCGTGAGACTGCGCAGCCTCCTCCTCGTCCTCTGCCGCCGTCGTGTCAGCGCGCACGAGCCCGTCCTCCAGGTCCACCACCACGCCCTTGACCGGCGTCGGCTCGACTCTCATCGTCGCATCGCACGGCTCGCGCTCGCCGAGGTGGGCGCAGCGCGGCATCTCCACCTTGTGCGCCTCCCACGCCCCAAAGTGCCGCGGCTTGAAGGCGGCGAGCAGTGCGATCACATCCCACGGGATGAAGCCGCGCTGCAGCCGCGAGGACCTGCGCCAGCGCGAGCCGTCAGGGAGCCTGGGCGCGACGCGAGCGTTGACGAGCCACGGCATCACGCGCGTCTGCAGCCGCGCCTTTTTCAGCAGCGCGCACGCGGCGGCCTCGCCGTTGGCCTCCTCGCCGGAGTCCTCGCCGTCGCCAAACGCGGAGCAGCACCGCGCCTCGAGCGTTTCGACGTCGTCGGAGGTGAAGGCGACCTGAGCGCACGTCTGGATGGGCACGAGCATCGTCGGCACACTGCTCGCGAGGACCGCACGCGCCGACGCGCGATCGGACGCGAAGTTGAGGCACATCTTGCCGCCGGTCAGCTCGCCGCCCATCAGGATGACGCGGCGGAGGCGTGGCTCGATCCCGGGATCCTTGGCGAGGGCGCGCGCGAGATTGGTCGCTGGACCGAGCGTGAGGACGGTCAGCCCATTGGGACCGCTCGCGTGCGCCGCCCGAATGATCAGGTCGGCCGCGGCATCGGAGGACGGCCAGTCTGGAGAGAGCCGATTCATCTTGCGCAACTTGGGCCAGGCGACATGCATGTCGCGCCAGCCATACCCGCGAGCGATGCCGTGCTGAAAATCGGCAGAGGTGACTCCGGCCGTGCGCAGCAGCAGGTCCAGTCCAGGCGACGTGTGCTTGATGGGTGCGTTGCCGCCACAGACAGTCACGCCCACTATTCTGATGCCCGGTCGCGTCCGGTTGAGGGCGATGGCCATCAGCAGCGCCAGGTCATCATCCGCATCCAAACCCGTCCACACGAGCCCTCCAGGGTCGAGATCGATCAATACCTCCTCCGGTGACGGGAGTGTCAAGGCACCTGCAAGGATTGCAAGTGATGGAAGAACCAGCAGCAGCTGCATGCAGACGCGTCGGCGACGGTGCGATGAGGGCGGGATCGGTGAGCCGCTGCTTTGCTTTGTCGCTGCCAAAGGCGCGCATAAGACGCCAACGTTTTTCTTTCTTTGGTCGGTGCGAAGGCGCCCGGCGGCCGCGCTTGGTGCCCACGCCGACCGGCTGCTCTCGCGGCGCCGAGGCGTACCGCTCCGGTCACGTATCGCGCGCTGCGAGGTGTCTTTCCGAGTGGTCTTTCCTGGCATGTGAGCGCTGGCTGCAGGCTGTGGAGACGCCAGGAAGCTCGTCTTCCATGCCTCTGCGGCCGTGGGCGTGCGGGCGTAGTGTTGGGGGATGGGTGGTGATATCCAGAGCACATGCGGCACCCGCAACGTATCCCACAGCCCTGCTCCATCGTGCGCATGCTCACCTGCCAGCAGCACTGCGACCCGTCTCGAGCTCAGCCCGCTGGCGCTGCCCCCCCCCCCCCCCCCCTTGCGCCTTGCGCCTTGGGGCCGCCGCCGCCGGCTACCGCTCTCGCGCTCTCGTACCTACGTAGACTCGTGTACTCTACGCCGTGTAACCATCGGCGGCTCCGGCGCCTCGCGGGGCGGGTGTGGCGGCGGGGGCGGGGGCAGCGGCGGCGAGGGCGGCGGCGACGGCGGCGGCGCGGGGGGCGCGGGGTGGCAGCACGTGTACCCCGCGCCACGGAAGCCAAAGCAGTCTCGCTGGTTGCGGATGGCGGTCCAGCCGCGGCGGCAGACCGGCCCGTAGATGTCCTCCGGGTGTTTGCGGCGATGCCTCCGGCTGTTTGCGGCGGGCGGCTTGCTGCTCGCGGCGATGGCGAAAAACTCGTCTCGTCGCACACCAAGGGCTTATGCTCTGGCGAGATGTGAGGCGTATGCGCCCAGGATGGGAGGGCGCATGCGTAACGACGCTGCTGAGATAAAACTTCTACAGATGCCATGCATGACCTAGTAGTGTCCCCAGCTATGGGCGTGTCCACGTGGAGGTATGGAGCCAGGTCGCAGGTGTGGGCGCGAGAATAGCTCCGCCATTCATGGAGGCAACCGATGCGCTGATAATCAGTACATGCACATGGACATGGACATGGACATGCACATGACATGTTGTGCATGTGCATGTGCATGCACATGTGCATCTGCATGCGCATGTGTGTGGAGGAAGGTGAAGAACAGTCAGGCTCGGACTGGACACCAACGCGGTATGGGTGGACGTGGGACAGATGATGACGACACGCTCGAGCGACACACAGACACACACAGGCTCACAACACACACAAAGCCAGCTGGGTTGCCGCAACGGCCGGCCTCGCCAGCAGCGTTTCAGGTCGCGGTGCTCGCGGTGCTCGCCGTACAAGGACAAATGCAGGTCCAGGAACAAGGTACAGGTCGGCGGGGCCGCGCCTGGTAGGCCGCAGAAAGTCGCATCTTCGTCGTGCGGACACGCGCTAAGCCGACCTCCTGGACGGGTCTCCGAGAGGGGCCGGCCGCCTGCCGCAGAGGGAAGTTTGCCGTCTCGCGCAGCGCCTCGCACGCCGCCATCCTCGGCGGGCTGCCGTCCGGGCCGCGGAGGAAGCGCATCCTCTGCGTGCCTGGCTTCTCCCATCCGAGGAGCAGATCTCGACCGAGGAGCAGATCTCGAGCCCGGCTCGGTCAGTCTGCCTCCCGGAAGCCGACCCACGAGATGTAGGTCGTCCAGAGGAGGAAGCAGCCTGTGTGTATGTGGGGGGGAGGGGTGGGGGGGGGAGGAGGCTAAGAAAGGCTCAGGGAAGGCTCAGGGAAGGCTCAGGAGAGAGTCTCCCCTCCCCCGCCGCCTCGGCTGCTCTCGGCCCCTCTCGGCTGCTTCTGCCGTTGGTCCAGAGCGTGTTGTACTCGAGCGGGAGAAGGCGGAAGTTGAGCGCCTGCAGTCGAGATGTCGCAGAGATGTCGCCGAGATGTCGCCGAGATGTCGCCGAGAGGTCGCCGAGAGGTAGCCGAGATGTCACCGAGATGTCGCCGAGATGTCACCGAGAGGTCGCCGATATGTCGCCGATATGTCGCCGAGATGTCACCGAGAGGTCGCCGATATGTCGCCGATATGTCGCCGATATGTCGCCGATATGTCGCCGATATGTCGCCGATATGTCGCCGATATGTCGCCGAGATGTCGCCGAGATGTCGCCGAGATGCCGCCGAGAGGTCGCCGAGATGCCGCCGAGATGTCACCGAGATGTCGCCGAGAGGTCGCCGAGAGGTCGCCGATATGTCGCCGATATGTCGCCGATATGTCGCCGATATGTCGCCGATATGTCGCCGAGATGTCGCCGAGATGCCGCCGAGCGATAGAGACCGAGAGGTCGCCGAGAGGTCGCCGAGAGGTCGCGGAGAGATTGCGGAGAGATCGAGACGTAGCGGCCGATCTCGGCGAGTCTCGCGCTGGTCTCGCGCTCATCTCGCCTGCGCCACGCCCCAAAAGTAGCAGGAGCGGCGCACTGTGGCGGGCAGGTCGCTCTTCAGCTTGCGGCCGAGCCGCCGCCGCTTCTCTCCGTTGAGCCTCAGGTACGGCTGGGGTGGGGCGGAGGAGGAGAGGCGGTGATGGAGGTGGAGAAGCGGGTGGTGGGTGGTGAGGGTGGCGGTGGAGCGAGTGGCGGTGGTGTGTGAGGGCGGAGGCGGTGAGGGCGGAGACGGCGAGGGCGGAAGCGGCGAGGGAGGCGCTGGCGGGGGCGGGAGCAGTGCGGGCGGAGGTGACAAGACAAGGGCGGTGAAGACCATAGGTGGCGAGGAGGGTGGTGACGAGACAAGAGGTGGCGGAGGTCAGGGCTGCTGGAGGAGGCGCCTTGTCGCGGGTGAGGACGACGAAGGTGAAGAAGCCGGCGTTCAAGCCCGGCGACATCACCGCCTGGTTGAGCGCGACCTTGCCCACGAGCTGCGCCGTCGAGCTCGCCGCGAGCGGGAAGAGGCGAGCGAGGAGCCGGAACCAAAAGAAGAGCATCAAGCCGCTCACGCTCGCGCCCCAGGCGGAGATCCACGCCGCACGAGAGACGTCCCACGAGCCGCGCCGCTCGACGGCCTGCGCCATCCCGTCGGCGAGCACCGAGAGGCTGGCGGCCGACAGCACGTTTGTCGTGATGGGCGCCGCCGCGAGCGCGGACTGATAGGCTCCGACGAGCGGCGGCAGCGTGAGCGCTGCTCCACCGCGGAGGCGGTGTGCCGCGGCGAGGCCGTGACAGGAGGCGAGCGGGAGGAGGTGGAGGAGGAGGCCGAGCGGCATGGGAGTTCCCTGGGGGCCTGTGGTCTCTGCCCGACGTTTTTCTTGTTTCAGCATCGCTTTCCGCTTTCCATCGAGCCATCGAGTGGGCCGCTCAGCGCCGCCGCCCGCCACGCACGACCGCTTCAGCAAGACTCCACCGCCACCTCCCCCTCCAGCCGCGCCCCCCTGCCGCCCTCTCAGGCAGCCGCCATGAGCCTCGAGGCCACCATCGCGCAAAAGACGGCTGGCACAGACGCGAGCGAGGTGCTGGAGCTGGTGCTGGATGGTGTCAAAGCGAGCAAAGTGACGGGCCTGAACCAATTCACCAAGCTCAAGGTGCTGCAGCTGAATGGGTGCGGGCTCACCTCGCTCGAGGAGTTCCCCACCCTACCCAACCTGCAGCGGCTCGAGCTGGCAGACAACGCGCTCTCGGACGGGCTCGACCACCTGCAGGACGCGGCGCTCATGCATCTGAAGGTGCTCGTCCTGGCGGGAAACAAGTTTTCGTCGCTCCAGGGCCTCGAATCTCTGGCGCGTGCCCCACCCGCGCCCTTCTGCGGCCCTGCCTCTTGCGGCGTCTGCGCGCGGCGCCGAGTCGCTCCTGCGCGGGCGTGCCGTGGCCACGGCTGCGTCAGGAGGCCGGGGCGCGGCGCCGCGGATGGCCCGCCCAACGGGATGCCGGCCGCGCGCTCCCGATGCGGGCGGTGGAGCCGGCCGCTTCCGGGCGGCCTTCTGCAGACATGTCGCAGCCCTCGCGGCGGCGGCGCGGCGTTGGCGCGGAGCGATGCCTCGCGGATGCTGATGCCTCTCGGCGCCACTCCCTGCCCGTCGCAGGCGTCGCTCCCCAGCCTGCGCGAGCTCGACATGGAGGGCTGCGCCGTCGCGGAGGAGGACGCCTACCGCGAGACAGTCTTTGAGATGCTGCCGCAGATCAAGTACCTGGACGGCGTCGACGGGGACGGCGAGGAGAAGGACGAGGAGGAGGAGGACGAGGAGGAGGAGGACGACGACGACGACGAGGAGGCGGACGAGGACGTCGACTCGCTGCTCGATGAGGAGGGCTCCGAGCTCGGCGGCGACTCTGAGCTCGGCGAGGAGGCGCAACACATATCTCCCCACACCTCCTCACATCTCCTCACATCTCCTCACATCTCCCCGTCTCTCCGGAGGAGCTGTGCTCACAAGCCGAACTCGCACCCACACATCTCACTCCGCGCACGCTCACCCTCCCCTGCTCTGGCCACATTCGGCCCCCCTCCCCCCTACACCCATATCGACCATCGGCGGCCGCTCCGGCGCGCACCGGCGCGAGCCGCGTCTCCCCACAGCGTGCGGTGTGTGTGAGCAGGGGGCGGACGAGAGCGACCTGGGCGAGGGCGAGTCGGAGCTGGGCGAGGAGGAGGGCGAGGAGGGCGAGTCGGAGCTCGGAGACGAGGAGGGCGAGGAGGGCGTGTCAGAGGCGGACGGCGAGGAGGACGGCGGCTCCGACGCGGGCGAGGGCTCCGCCAAGCGCCAGAGGAGATAGCGACTTTTCCGGCGGCGTCGCGGCGCGCGCGCGCCGAGTCCGACTCGGCGCCTGGCGCCGCGCCTTTTAGGCTCAGAAGCGGACACGCGGTCCGGGCGGAGGCCTCTCTGTATTTGCATCAGGCGTTGGCCGCGGCGAGGCTCTTGCCCTAGCTTGGCGTAGGATGGTGCCGGCGCCTGCCTAGCGAGCCTGCCGCACACACCGTAACACGTCGGCCCGCTGCCACCGTGCGTGTGAGTACACATGTACGTACACATGGGCGGCGAGACAATCGTCAATCCCCAGAGGCACAAAAAAGAGCTTTGCGAGAGGGCGGCATAACCATATCAATCTGCGTGGTGCGTGTACCTGGCGGGGGATTGTCCGACTGAGCTGCGTGTGCCGGCCGCTCCGGCGCCATACGCAAAAATCAAGAAGAAGAAAAAAACGAAAACAATTTTACCGCGCACCGCCGCAGCAGCCGACCAATTGGGCCCGCCGCCGCCCCCCGGGCCGCAGCAGCCGACCATGAGGAAACCGCCTCCGCGGCGGAGCAGCGCTCCGCACGCTGCCGCCGCTCGTCGGGGCCTACCAGTCCGCGCTCGCGCCTCGCGGCGGCGCCCATCACGACAAACGTGCTGTCGGCCGCCGGCCTGTCGGTGCTCGCCGACGGGATGGCGCAGGCCGTCGAGCGGCGCGGCTCGTGGGACGTCTCTCGTGCGGCGCCGAGCCCGGTCTTCAGTGGACGCCGGGTGCGCCTACAGTACAGCGAGCGCCCCCAGGTAAGCGCGCGAGCGCGAGAGTTGCAGCGCGAGAATTGCGGCAAGCCTTACTGGCCGACTGGCGTACGGCCGCAGCCGGGGCAGCGGCGCCAAAACTCATCGCCAGCGGCAGAGGAAGGCTCGGGTGGCGGCGGCGGCGGCGGCGGCGCGCCAGCGGCAGAGGAAGGCTCGGGTGGCGGCGGCGGCGGCGGCGGCGCGGTGAGATCGCTAGTGTCCCTGCCCGCCTCCCTGCAGGCGCGGAAGAGCGCCGCCTCCTCTGCGGTGGCGAAGCAGCCGAGTGAGACTTGCTTGCCGCCAACCGTAACCTGCAGCTTGTACTTCTTGCTGCCTGTCTGCTTCGGGGTGAAGTACACGCCCTTGTATCCGGTGTTGCTGCCGCTGCTCGTAGCCAGGGCCAGACCCTCCCTCTCCGCCTGCCGTATCGCCTCGGCGCCAGCGGCAGTGGGAGCAGCGCGAGGCTGCAGCAGCTTGGCGGCGTCGGCGCGGCCGTACTCCGAGCGAGCGTAGGCGGTGGCCGCCTCTTCGGCGGTGTCAAAGTAGCCGAGGCGGAGACGCTTGCCGCCATTCCCCCTCGCCTCGTACTTCTTTTCGCGGCGGTTGAAGGTCACGCCCTTGTAGCCAGTCGTGGACGTGTTGATGTTGGCCGGGATCAACTCGAGGCGCTCGGAAACCTGTGGTGAGTTCGCGCGAGCGGGCGACATGCGACAAAGAAAGTTGCGCGTCCGGGATGGGGGCGGCGGGGGCGCGGGGCGGGGCGGGGCGGGGCAGCGGCTCTCCTCTTCCTGCTGCTTTGTTGGCTGCAGCCTCTCGTTGCAGGCGCGCTCCGAGAGCACCTCGTTCGCGAGGAAGGCGCTGTCCTGCGCGGCCGTGCGGCCGCGCTTGGCGGGGCGCGAGGAGTCCGAGTCGGACTCGGCGGCGGATGGCGGGAGCGGCGCGGCGAGCGACGAGATCCGCGCGAGCGGGTACCGCTGCACGCGCGAGAAGGTGAGCGTATCTCCCTCGGCGACGTCGACCTCGCCATTCTTGCCGATCAGCTTGCTGTTGATGAAGGTCCCGTTCGATGACGTGTCCACCAGCCGCACGCGGGGAAGCTCGGTGCCCGACTCGGCGCCCACGCAGTGCAGCGTGCAGTGCGCCGAGGAGACGAACGGAACGGGGATGACCACGTTCGCCTGGTGGGTGCGCCCGACAACGATTGCGCTCGCGCCCCTGAGCTCCACGACACGGGGCGTCGCGTCCGCCTCGTCGACGATCTCGAGGGCGCCCCACGACTGGCCCGCCTCCACCATGTTGAGGCCGAGTTGGAGCACTCCCGGGAATGCTGAGCGGACCCCGCGAGGTACGAGGCCAGCACAGCGAGGCGCCCACGTAGCCGTCCGAAGTCGCGTCAGGTTCGCTCGACACGCTAGCGGAGCGGTTGGCGAGGCTAGTGGTGGCCATAGTCTGGTCCCCTAGGGGGTCGATGGGTCGGCCCGCGCCCTCCTTCCCAAGCTGCGCCGGCCGCCGCGCGCGCCGCTTCGGCGTCGGGCCAGAATCCAGGGCTGCGGCTGGAAGAGCGACGCGAGCCGAGCCATCGACCCACCTACCCTCTCGTACACCGCATGCCACGCACTTCTGCACGTCGCGACAGCCGCGTCGTGCAAATCCCACGTGACTTCACCCCATTGCGTGCGGCGCAGATAGCGACAATGACCAACGCGCCCTCTTCTGCCTCTGGCGACGACCGCGCGTGGCGCACCTCGGCTGCTCGCCGACGGTGAAGCAGAACAGCAACTCAGGCCGGTGGTACATCGAGTGCCTCTACTGCAAGTCGAAGACGCACGTCAAGATGTCGCTCAACAACCTACGCTCCAGAGGTGGGTCGCCCGCTCCACGACCCTCCCTCCCTACGGCGCGGCCCCCTTCGAGCCGCGAGACTTTGGCACGCAGGCCGCAGCGCTGGCGGCAGTTCCACGCTTCATAGAGTGGATCGTTGACGGCTTCGCCAACGGGGCTCTGGCGGCAGCACCTCCACCCTGATGGACGTGGACGTTGTCCTCTGGCGGTGTTGTGTCGTAGGGTACTGCTATAACTGGTTAAGAGTTTCATGTGCTTGCGCGCGTACGCACATGGGGCGCACGACGGATCAGTCCGCGCCTGTGGACTGAGCCGCGCCTGTGGGCTGGCCGTGCACGGCACATGGGCGTCGGTGTGTGTGCTCTCTCGCGCGGAGAGAGATGCGGTGTGTTTGACTCGCTCGGTGCCGCGAGCGAGAGGGGAGGGCGAGACGCCGCGCTGGGTATTAATCAGAGTGTTAGTCAAATAATCCTCGCACACCACGACTCGCGCATAAACCACGACTCGACCCACAGGGAGAGTGCGTGCGCTGCGACGGACCCAGCCGGCACCGGCAGTGCGGACACAGTGCGAGTTGCGATGACTACCGACGCACAAGCACACCACGCGACGTAGTCTGCAACACCGCGCGGCTGGACACCACACACTTCACCGGTAGGACTCACTGGGTCGGACACGCGCGCCGTGCAGCGGCAACCGAAGATGCCGAGAAGCCCCGCCCGAAGCTCCGAACCATGTGCTGTGGTCGCTGCCACGCCAACCGCGCGGCCGGCCCGGGCGCAAGCCGTGACGACTGATCGCGGCGGCAGCGCCGCGCGCCCTCGTGCCGCGGTGCGCGCCGCTCGCGCCGCGCCAAGGGAGGTCTTCAGCCTGCGGCGCGCTCACCCGCAGCGCTGCCGGGCGTGCCCATAAAAATGCGCCGCCTCTGGACGTCTCTGCCGCCTCCAAGGCGACCGACGCCACGAGTGATATGCGCGACGCCACCGTGAGACGTCTGGACGGCTCGCTGCGACCTCAAGGCCAGCCTCGCCGCCCGCCGTGAGCGCCAAAAAAGCGTCAACCGCGCAACCGCGCAACCGAGAGAGAGCCGCCGAGACGCTTCAGCGACCCGCCAGGAGCCGGGCCGAGGCCTGTCCGAAGCCGCATGCCGCTCGAGTCGGTCGCCCGGCGCACCCTGGGAGGCGCCCGTCGAAGCCAAAGCTGTGCTGGGGACACGGCCGGATCAGCCTCGTACGAGCGGGGCGGTAGCCTTGCTTCATCTTCACACCGGAGTACTGGTGCATCCAGCCCTCACACACAGAGTCTGGCTCTGCTGTGAAAACGAAAGAGGACGTACGCGCCTACTTTCAAGACAACGCGTTCTACGACGTGCCTATGGCTGAGCCGCCCAATGGCGCTCGCCCACTTGCCTACCACAGCCGAGCGCCTCGCGCCCGGCTCTGGGCCCCGCGACAACGCTTCGCGCAGTCTTGACAATGGAAACCGACCGGCTCCGCTCCTGCCAGCGGGCCGTCTTGCTTCTGCGACGATTCTGACAGAAAAGTTTTGTCGGCCAAGTTGCTTTCAATGCAGCGGAAGCGGAGGAAGGCCGACGAGGCAACATCGTGCACGCGGGACTGATCTACGGCTTCTGGGAGGTTGGCGAGGGTTTCGGTAGTGAGGAGTGGAAGCGCGGCTGCTACCACGCGTGCGTGCGAGGCGAGGCAGCGGCGGTTGAGAACGCAATAGGACATGCGCTAGAGAAGCTGGTCCAGGAACTAGCGGACGTTTACCACGCCTAGGCGTAATTCATGAAACCACAGGAGTTTTCTTTTTTCTGTTTCTCGGGCAGCGCAATCAGCTGTTCATCGGCGCGAGGGAGGCACCGTCGCCGCACCAACCGCTGCTCCGTCTCGTCCGTCTCCGACTGCCATGCTGCAAGTCGCTGTCCTCCTCACTGCCCTGAGCCGGCCTGCGCTCGTCGCGCCGAGGCCGCCCGCGCCGCTGCGGTCCCGCGCGCCCGTCGCCACGGCGCCGGCGCCGGCCTCGCTGCTCGGCAAGGCGGCGCGGATGGTGCGCGGCGACCCGACCATCCAGTACGAGACCATCACGTGCTCGGACATCGACGAGGAGGAGTGCCTCGCGCTCTGCGACGAGGAGACGGGCTGCTCCATTGTCGCGCCCAGCGCCGCGCTCCGCACGCTCAAGATCGGCGTCTACTTTGCGCTCTGGTTCGCGCTCTCGACGGGCTACAACATCGCGAACAAGGTGCGGCTCAACGCGATCGCACTGCCGTGGTGCCACTCAGCCGCCTCGCTCGGCGTCGGCTCAGCCTTCGTCTCCTTCCTCTGGGCTACCGGCCTGCGCAAGCGGCCGTCGCTGCCGCGCGCCGCAGTGGCGACGCTGCTCCCAATCTCCTTTCTGCACGCGCTCGGCCACATCGGCGCCGTGGTGTCGGCGGGCGCGGGCGCCGTCTCCTTCACGCAGATCGTCAAGGCCGCCGACTTCGCCTGCACCGCCGTGTGTAGTTCGCAGTCGTTCTGAACCCATCCATCCATCAGTTTGTTCGTGGTAGGCTGCCGAGCCAGTCTGCACGGCACTCCTCTCGTGGGGCAGCTCGCGGGTAGATGCCCCACACGCCTCTGCCGCTGGTCCAGCGAGCACGCACTCTGCGCCACTCTGCGCCACTCTGCGCCGACGACGTGGCGCAATTTCCCTGAGACTTCTCGGAAACCTTCTCGGAACCTGCCTGCAGGCATCCTCGGCGCCACAATCTCCGCGCCGGCGTTCCCTCGCCCTCGCGCCGATCTGCTATAGTATACTGAGCATTCTGATCGCGGCTCTACTACACACCATAGGCCGCCCTCGCCCTAGTGCCGATCTGCTATAGTATACTCAGCATTCCATTGCGAGTCCACTGTCTCATAGGCCGCTCTCGCCCTCGTGCCGATCGTCGCGGGCGTGGCGCTCGCTTCGGTGAGCGAGCTCTCTTTCACGTGGCTCTCCTTCTCGGGCGCGAGATCTAGCCGAGATCTCGCCGAGGTCTAGCCGAGGTCCAGCCGAGAGCCAGCCGAGAGCCAGCCGAGAGCCAGCCGAGATCTAGCTGAGATCCAGCCGAGATCTAGCCGAGATCCAGCCGAGAGCCAGCCGAGAGCCAGCCGAGAGCCAGCCGAGATCTAGCCGAGATCTAGCCGCGAGTACAGTAGCTCCGTCTCTTTGAGCGGCGCGACGCCCTCCAATCACCAGCTCCATCTCATGTAGTGTCTCCCGTAGTCGCGCGACGCTCTCACGCGGTGCACCCATCATGTAGCGTCTCCCGTCACCGCCGAGATCCAGCCGAGACCTAGCCAGCCGAGAGATTGGCTGAGAGCCATCCGCGGCTTGCTTCCACCTCCGCGAGTAGCGTAGCGACGCGCTCCAATCTCCGCCGCTCGGATGGGACTGCACAGAGGCGGTCCTCCCAAACCCGACCCAACCCAACGCTCTCATGGCATGTAGTGTCTCCCGTCACCGCCGCTCGGATGTGGCTGCACAGAGGCGGTCTCCCCAACCCAACCCAACCTCCGCAGGCGCGATGCTCTCCAATCTCGCCTTCGCAACACGCAACATCCTGTCGCGCGCCTCGATGGACCGGCCAAAGGGGAAGAACATGACGCCCGAGAACCTCTTCGGCGCGCCCCCGCGGACACACTAGTCTCAGCACGGGGCCAGGGGGCCCTCACTAGCTGCACTCGGGCTCACTCCCACTGCGCCTTCGGTGGGGGTGGACTGGCGCGTAAACGGAGAGTCGCGGAGTCGCGCGCCTCCCACCAAGGAAGGGCTACGCAGTACCCCTCACCGGTGCACGGGGCCAGGCCAAGCCCCTCCGGCCCCTCCGGCGGAGTGAGTCAGAGTGCAGGTAGTGAGGCGTCTTTGGGCACGGGGTGAGGATGGGTGTCCGCGGGGCGGGCCAGAGAGGGTTAGGGGGGATGTCTCTCTCCTTTGTGGGGTCAACAAGGAGGCGAAAGAATTGATGTTTTCTAAGCGAAAATTAGGATTTCGACCCCGGGGCTTG